CACAAGCCCCCCCCCCCCCCCATGGCATACTACCCGTGGAAGTTTCAAGTCCTCTGTGGGTGGTGTTTCAAGAAATGTATTTTTTGACCACAGTAGATACAAAGGCCTTGTGACAGATGTTGGTTTCTTTCCTTACCGAATAAAGAGGCACGGCCTAAATGCATAGGCTCTTCTTGAGGTGAAGTTGCAGTGACCTTGAGAGGTTCTAGGTGATGCTGGAAGGTAGGAGCCAGATTTGGTGAAAAAGTCTTGCGCTGGCAGGCCCTGTCTTGAGCACACTCTTTAAAGCAGGTATCAATTTGAATGGTGCTTGGTATCTCTCTTCCAGCCAATTCATGTTTAATGCGTTCTGCAAGACCTTGCCAGAATACTGCTGTAAGAGCTTCATTATTCCAGGACAGCTTGGCTGCAAGCATGGGGAACTGAATGGCATAATGACCCACCCTGAGGGTGTCTTGGCAGAGATGCAGGAGTGCACCTGCAGCAGAGGACACACCAGCAGATTCATCACAAATCTTCTGGGAAAAGGGCAAGTAATGGAACAAAGTCAAAGTAACAGGATCAACCTTCTCCCACAATGCAGGATGCAAGTCACAGGGAACCCAGGGACTGAGGTAACTGTGTATTATTGGGGATGTGCAAGAGGTAGGGATGTTATGCTGCTGGATACCTCCCAGGTTGCAGCCCTCTAGCACACCTGTGCAGACACAAATGACTGGATGCAGCACTGAGGTTGAGGATTCAAAGGCAGGCAGGGGTGAAGCATGTAGACAGACTGCAAGATATCGAGGAACACAGAGGTGGAAGTCCAAACAATAGTGTGATAGGAACTTTGGTAAACAACAGAGAATCAGCAACAACACGGCTGTCTGGAATTCTCTGGAGAGTCAGGCTGAATGGAACAAGCAGCCATACAGAAGCAGAACAGACTCACAGGTATAGCACAAGTGCAAGAGCTCACTGAAGGAGGTGATAACATTCCACTTGCTGGATATGCAGGATTACACTGGGGACACAAAAGAATTTGAAGGAGATACAGTGAACAGCAACACTGGTAAGTAGTAGTTTGCAGGGATCCTAAGGAAACAACACAAAGGGTCCGGCCGAACTGTAAGGGCACATTACTCAAATGTCGAGCAACAAGTTCACTGGTCTTTTAACACAGAGACAGTTTAGAACAGAAGCACCAGCAGCATGTGTCCAGGATGAAAAGAGGGGAGAAAATCTTCAGTGATCAGTGTAATACGCTTATGAGGCTGCTCTCACTTGGTTTAGGGAAACCTCAACACTGAGATACAAAACACAGAGAGCGCCTCCATCGCTCTCTGTGTTTTGTATTTTAACACAGAGGTTCAGAGAGGAAGCTGAGCACCTCCATTTGAGGATGGTATGCATTCAAAAAACAGTGATCAATTTGTAATTTGAAGCATAATGCTTTCCAAAATTTTAAAACAAATTGGGTACCTCGGTCTGAGATAATTCGCTTTAGAATTCCGTGTAGTTTAATTATGCTTGAAACAACTCCATCTGCGGTTTCCATAGAATTAGTAATTTCTTTAAGGACACAAAATGTGAAAAGATCCACTGCAATGAGGATGGTGTTATGATTTTTTGATGGAGGGAGGTCAGCAATGAATTCTAGAGAGATGATTTGCCATATGGTAGTTTTGTTTTATGTTTTAAACTTGCTCAAATCTCACATGAGGTGACATAATCTTGAATTAATGTTGCCATGTTTGGCCACCAAAAGTATTGACATATTAAATGTTGGGCCTTTGTAATGCCTGAATGTCCCACTCATGTAACATCGTCAGAATTTGTACTTGGAAAGAAGGAGGTATATATAGTTTTGTTCCTTTTTATAGAAACCCTTCCTCATCTGATTTAGATCTGGTGGTAGGGTAGCTGGTTTGGATTATAGAGCATCTTTGAGTTACTGTTTTAGGTTTACAGCTTCAGTTATTGTCTTTTTGAGGTTGGTGGATTTGGCAGGTTTGTTGGTTCATTGATTCTTGATAATGAATCCGCCTTGCCATTTTTTGAACCGAGTCTATATATAATATTAAAATCAAACCTATTTAACAAGAAACTCCATCTGGCTCATCTAGCCAATAGTGTTTTATTCCTCTTGAGGTACTGTACGTTTTGATGAATAGAATACATTATGATTGGTGGAGTTGTATCTTCTAGAAGATGCCTCCAGTTTCTCCAGAGCAAATTGTTTTTGCAAGTAATTCCTTTTCTCCTATTGGGTAGTTGATTTCTGCATCGTTTATTGTGTGGGTGTAGAAAGCTACTGGATGTTTCGAAGTAAGTGGAGTGTCTCTTTGGGAGAGTATGGCACCTTTGGCAACTTGTGAGGTGTCAACTTTAAGTATGTATTGTAACTTAGGGTCGGTAGACACAGTATGGGAGCTGTTTTGAAGTGATGCTTCAGTTCCTCGAAGCAGCTTTGTGTCTAGTCAATTTAGTTAGGGATGTAACGATTGAGAAAATAATACTTATTGAATTTGCTACAGAAATTCGAGACTCCAAGGAATCTTTGGAGTGCCTTCCTAGTATGAGGTATTGGCCAATTTAGTATATAATCAATCTATGATTGATCGATTTTAATCTCTTCTAATGAGACAATGTAGCCTAAGAAAGAAATTGAAGAGTTTTCAAAAATATATTTCTCTAGTTTGGCTTATAGATTGTGAACCCTTAATATTAATAGTACCCATCTCACGTTTGCTGTGATCAGTTGTTGGAGTAAATGAGGATATCATCTAGGTATATGACTATGCAGACATCAAGTAGGTCTTTGAATATGTTGTTGATAAAGTATTGGAAAGTCACTGGGGCATTACATAGCCCAAAAGGTATTACCAGATATTGGCACAGACCATACCTGGTGCGGAATGCTGTTTTCCATTTATCTCCAGATCCAATTCGGATTAAGTTATAGACACCTTTAGGATCAAGTTTCATATAAATATGGGCAATTTGCAAGTGCTCTAATAGTTTAGAAATGAGAGGCAGCGGATACTTGTTTTTGATTGTAATTTTATTTAGCTCCCTGTAGTCAATTATGGGTCTCAAACTATTATCTTTATTACACACAAAAAAACATTCCTGCTCCTGCTGGTGAAGTTGAAGGTCTAATAAAACCCTTCTTAAGGTTTTCATTCAGATACTCCTTTAAATGCTGTAGCTCTGGTTGAGATAAAGGGTGAATGCAGCTGAAAGGTATTGTACTTCCAGGAATTCGATCGCTGGATCATATGACTGATGAGGCGGTAGTGTGTCTGACATTTTCCTACAGAAGATGTCAGAGAAATTTTGATAAGCTGGTGGTAACTGAGGTATAGAAATCTGTAGACATGGATTAGATGGATAGCAAGTTTGCTGGCAGTAATGAGATAAAAGTTCCAGGGATAACATGTTCCAATAGAGAGTAGGTGTCATTTCAACCAAGGGAGACCTAAAATAATTGAAAAAAGAGATGATGGGATTACATGGAATGTTGAGTATTCCACATGATTATCATTATCTATAACCATCAAAGGTTGTATTTGTTGAGTGATAGGACCTGATGTTATTGTCGTTCCATCAATAAGGTCTGGCAAAGACAGAAGTTTTTTTAAGTGTAGAGATTTTATTATTCTCGACAAGGTGTAGGTAATAACATTGTCACAGGCACTAGAGTCCACCATAGCTTCATTATTGAGTCTTCTTTGGTCCCACTGTAAAGTTAAAGCAATTTTGACATAATTAGTAGAGATAGAGTTAGTTGTTATTAATTTGCATATGAATGATAATTCACCATCATTCTTTTTCTTGAGATTGGGGCAAGTCTCCAAGGAGTGATCTGGGAATGCACAATACATGCATAGTTTAAGGCTTTAGTCCTTTTCAGTTTTTCAGCATGGGATATAGGGGCCTGAAGTGCTCCAATGCCTATAGGGTCCCCTGTCATGGAAGGAGTAATTTTACGTAGAACATAAAATATGTTGGAAGATTTTTCTGCTCTTCTCTCATGAAGTCTCCTATCATTTAATATACAGAGGTGAACTAGAGCGTCAAGGGTGGCTGATAACTCAGTTTTTGCAAACTCATCTTTTAAAGCCTCAGAGAGACCCAGGCTGAATGGATGCCTTAGGCTGATATTCCACTCAGTCTCTCTATCCCAACACTTAAATTCAGGGATGTAAAACCTCAATGGGTCTTTTACCCTGCTATAGGTTCGTGATAGCTGATTCAGCACACAATTGTTTGCTTGGATATTCATATAAAAGTCCTCTAAGAAATTGGTGAAATAGTTCAGTATGGGATCATCTTTCTCCAAGCAGGTGTTGGCTCATGCCCTTGGTTCACCCCTGAGATATGATATGATAGTTCAGACTTTTTTTGTTGCAGTGGAATATGTCCTTAACTTTAAATCAATCATTAGTTTACAAGCATTTTTAAAATCTCTGTACTGCCCCATGTCTCCAGAAAAGGTATTGGGTGGACTGACCTTTGGTTCTGGACACTTGCTCAGAAGAGGTCTGTTAGTTACATTTTTGGAAATATAGAGTCTGAGATTTGAATTCTCCAATTAAAGGACATTAACCTTTTTGGGTTAAAGCATCAAGTATCTGGATTAGATTCCCCATATGGGCAGTGACATCCACTGGATCAATTTTTTAGGGTCCAAGTAATCTGTAACATACTTAAATATTTAATTCTTAACAGATGTCAACTTTGGATGGAGCTAATGTTATGGCTACTTACAGGGGATGAACAGGATGCAACCTCAGGAAATAATATCAAGGAAGGGATATTAGTTCCAGTCCAGTTTTGGAATAAGTTCAAGTGTTCTGGCATACTGTATTACTTCATACAGGCTTTGCAGAATAGCAACAGAAGAGACCAGCTATAACACAAATGTCCCATCCATAAGGTGGGAGTTATAAGTCCTTTAGAGCTACACCCAATAAGATGCCATTAAGTTGTTACTTGCCAATTATACTGCAAACATTAATAGGCATGCTAAGTAACATTTAACGACAGTAGTGTCTGGTAAAGCAACTCTGCAAGTTGGTGTAAATGAAGCATATACTTGTATTTAGATGTGTCAGGTCTTCCAAGACTTTCCATTTAGACAGACTACTATGGAAGAGCTAAGAAACACATGGAATCAGCCATCTTGCCTGATTTAACAAAACATCTAAAAAGGTTTAAAAAAAATGTAAAAGTTCTTTTTCAGTATGCTGTGTGAATAGGAACACATAACGAACATATGGTGGAGCTTTCCTAAATTTGACTGCAAATTGGAAATACACTTGGACGCTGAGCATTTCAGACTATTAGCTCACGGCCAGCTTGGAGAGGAGGAGCTGAGTGACACAGAGGGAGCTGATTGGAGAGTAGGTGGCAATGGACTCCGTTCCCGAAACGAGGACCCGGTAAGTATCTTACAATTTCCCATCTCTGCTTCCACACATTGGTATCAGAGTCAAAGAGCTATCAATATCGAAAACTGAATAGCCCTGTCTATATAATCCTAATGACCTTTCATATTAATAAATAACTAAATATATAAATTGAAAAATTGAAAAATTGCACCCAGAGGTGTACACCTATCTATATGCCCTTCAAAGTAAATAATGTTATTTTAAGCACAGAAAAATAATACCATCATGCTTTTCCCATGATTCTGCTAATAGCCCACATACAATGAAAGCTTCCACTTATGATTCCTAATAAGGTGTACAAGGGTTCTTAGATCAACAGTACTGGTGCTGGGGGATAAATCCCACCTATTAAAGCGATTAAATATTTTAAAAGAATGCATTTTTACAGAAAAGTGGCAAAAGAAAGTAGCATTAAATGTTAACTGTCTGTATAGACACTAAGAAACAGTATTTGCTGATGGTGGTTCTATTGTCAATGTTATTTGTTGTCTATATTGGCAGTCATTTCTCCAAAAGGTAGCCTGCGACAAGAGATGTGGCACCATCTTGAGGAACATCTGGGTTTCCCATCTAATGCACACATCACTATTGTCAGCTTGCACTGAATTGCCAGTAGCAGCTGCTTATTTGAAAAGAGGTAACATTGTGTTGAGATGTTTTATGTAAGGCATAATTCATAAATGTGTGCAATTCACGCATGGCCCAATACACATGTTTTCTGGAAATAGGGTTAAATAAAATATTGCCGTTTATTTGACAAAAAATGCATAAATTAGGCAAATGACAGTGCTATATTGCAAATAAACAGCATGAGACTATGGGCAAACAAAATAAAGAATCCATCAATTTTGTTCAAATCTGACAGCTGCAACCTAAATGATACAAACATAACAATCAACACATGGATATCAGTACTAGCCAGGTGCATATTCATGGCTGCACATTGTGGTGCAGGAACAGTAAACGAACATATATTAATATGAATGTTGCATGCTATAAATCACATTGTTAGTGACATATTCCCAAGATGCTGCTGATTTTTTAAGTATGTAATTTGTCTGCAAGCAAATGTAGAAATCTGATAAGAGAAGAGTTTTACTTTCCTTTCTGAATGCAAATGTTATTCTTCTACTTGAGATGTGCTGCATTACACAGCCTAGCAGTTAACCTTACATTTTGTCAAGAGAATGTGGAATACTTGTGGAGATTACATGACCTCAATTTGTACCTTCCTAGCTGGTACAATTCTATTTCCTTTAGTTGTACTTGGACAACAGTAAAAGTTCTTTTGGCCAAAGTGGCTGTTCACATTGACAATATGTTTAAGGCTTTCCCCTTGATGACAGTATCAACATAAGCACATCATAATAGCATAATTTAGTTGCGGTTAAACCATATGTTTCCAGGTGACTATATGTTAAATGTCACCTTTAAGATGTACAAAATCTGAGCCCACAACAAACTTTTAGTTAGAGAATTAATATGCCTTCTATTAATTCTATTCGGATAGGGATGCTGATAGCAAAGGGTGGCACATTTTGATTATCTAAAAATGCCAAGCTAAGGCTAACTTCCAGCTTTCCTGAATTGAGGCGACCATAAGATTTTATGTATATCTCTCATTCTTTAATTACCAAATTTGCGCTCACATTGTAATCTATATGGGATAATATGGTATTTCTGTTTAATTTAACAGTTACTGTCCTGTTACCTGCTGTTTAAGTCTCTAGTAACTTAGAGTATTATTTTTGTTTAAAGAAGAAATTATGCACCATTTTCTAAAACAGGCAAACCAGACCCTTCAGGTATTGTACAAGATATACAGTATGTGGGGGTTTAATTGTGCCATTAGGGGCCACTAGCAAGTGTCTGCTAATGATAGCTTTGTTCCTGAATCTAAACAAAGGGTGGAGCAAGTCCATGACATCACCACTATGTACTTGCTTCACCTCTAAATTCAGGAGCAGAGCTGTCGTTAGCAGCGAGAGTTTGGTGAGTGCAGATGAGGCAGCAGTCGACGGGGATTATTTATTTTGCCGGGCAGGTGAGTGGTGGGCATCGTGATTAATGAGGATCCACATTACTGGACAATGTGATTGATGATGGATTTACATTGTGAGACTGTTTTTTTATTAATTAATGGGGCACCCAGATTCATATGGGTCAGGGTTGTGGGGAAGAGACCCTTGTGCTCATCAACACAGGGACCTTGCCCTATGTTGAGGGCAAGTGGGTAGGGAATGAGGGAATACGAAAGCTTTCTGACAGATGGACAAAGTGTGTTTAAAAGCAAGGGGGTTATGGTTGAATAATTATGTATTTGTCTTTCTTGTATGTATTTGTGTTATTTGATTAAAAGAAATATTTTGCAATCAAGTTTTGATATCTCGGCAGCTTGCTGGAGCTGATGTGGATTGGAGTAAATGTTCTTAAAAGTCCCTATTACTCCACTTCCTGAACACATGTCAAAGTCAGTCAATCATATATATCATATGTAACTTTTTAATCAGTGACAAGGTGATACAATGTAAACCATTCTGTATTAGCCAGATACATTAGAATGTTTTACTGAAATTTTTATGTGCCAAAGGGTTGATGGAATGTGGAATGTTCTACTTTTCTTGTCTGTCATTCTACAAACAAAGATTGTATTAAAAATGTTGCAGGCTCAGATCTATATTTATGTCAAAAGTATGTACGCCCCATGGAAATTGTTGATTTTTTTCAACAGGCAAACATTAAATATGTATTCAAATAGTGCCTACAATAAAGGTGATATACATAAATAAAGCCAGATAAGTTGCCAAACATTTATTTAACAAAAATATCAATAGATGTAATATTATGCTGTGAAAACAATGAGTACACCCTCAGCCTTAGAGGCCTTTATTACCATAACAGTTCTGCCACTATTCTTCACAGTTGATATGTGGTTCTTCTCCTAAAATGCTGTCTTAGGTATACGCCAAACATGTCTAGTGTTACTGTGGCCAAGCAACTGTATCTGTGGTTTGCCAGTTTATGGCACATTGTTCCAGAAGGCTTTGCCTATATGTTCAATTGCAAGCTGTAGTCTTGCTGTAATGGACTTTCTTGGACAGCAAAGGCTTTTTAATGACACACCTCCTATGCTATTTACATTGGTGCAATCCCATTCTAATTGTAGATGCATGCACTTTGACACCAACTGCTGCAAGCGTTACCTGATGATCCTGAAGTGTAAAATTTGAGGTTCTCACAGACTCCTTTTAACATTAGATGATCATTTTTTGGCTAAATATGCTGAGTTGCCATTCTTGGACAAATTAGCAGTCTTTTGAAATCTATGCCACTTGTAGATAATTTTCCTCACAGTAAAATGATTGATTTGAAATAATTTGTCAATCTGTTTAAATCCCTTGCCAGATTAATAGGCATCAAAAACCCTCTATATGTGGGCCTTAGAGAATTCCTTCAATCCTTCCATTGTGACACAGCACAGGTCAATAGCAAATTGAACACCAAATCCAAGATATCTGAGATTGAAAAAAAAGTATGCAGGTTTCATCTGCATAATCCCTAAAAAGGTCCTAATCATTGGCACCTAATCTAGAACACCTTATTGCAACTTAATGGATTTGAAGTCATGATAAATGTAGGAGTGTAACTTTTTCACATCATAAATCTGTATTTTTGTTCAATTAGTTTATGATAATGAATACTTCATATAAATTGGGGTTGTCATATGTTCAAAATATATCCTATGGGTGTCCTGCCACACTCCTTATGGCAAACCTCTGAAGGTGGGTGCTGCAATTACTGCAGATGGCACTGCTGAAATCAATAAAGAAGCAAAGTGTCACCAGCACACCAAACATCATACTGAGCCTGATAAAGGGGATGCTGCATGGCCCCAAAACGTTGCTTCATCTGATAACATGCATCAATTAAGGACGATCTCTTGACCATTTGCTTGGTGTGCTGTGACACTTTGCGTCCTCGTATGTTCAAGTATGTCATCTTTATTTGTAGGCACTTTTTGAAAGAAGGTGAAAGAATATAATATTTGGCTGTTTAAATATGTTGAAAAACGCGGCTGTATTTAGTTTTCCTGCAAGCTCAAGCCTGTTTTTCACATAATATGCAGTATATTATATGAGAGTAAAGCAACTATATAAATGATTTCTATACATGCTTAGCATTGCCTACAATATGAAACTTGAATTGAACCATGAATCACAATCATCCGTAATTTAGAGTCTTGCTACATTCTGCAGCTGGCACAGAGACGTGTGTTACGGAATTCAAATGATGCCAATGATGTAGAATTTCAAAGACAATAATGTACTCTAACGGTTACATGTCTGGCACAGAGTTGTTGTTAGAAAACTGCCTTCGATGCTGTCCTCGCTGTGCATTAATATGTTCTACTATCCCATGTGTTTACACTGAATGCTCACACACTGTGCATAACAAGGTTCACATTCTAAGAGAAATAGCCTGGGGACTACCATCTCTAACTAATGAAAATATGTTTCATATGCTTTCTCCCAACCTTTGCATATTTTATTCTTTTTCATTATTATTCAAGTTTCCTGTGGGAGCGAGCGGATTATCAAGTCACCCTGTCTGTCTCGACATGCCTGCCCTCCTCAGACCCTTCGTTGTCTCAAATAACTGATGATGCTGGAGCTGTCGCTGGAAACAAATAACTGCTTCATTGTGGAAGCTACTGTGCACTTGCCTGACAGATGTACAAGCTTAGGAATCCTATGTACAGTAGGTGTTACACACAAACCATTTTCAAACAATCTCTGCATAATATTCACATGATTACAGCAAAACCTCCACCTTCATGAGTCTATGATGACAGTGAAGCAGATGATTTACTGATGGATAATGCATTTCTGATTCCAACAGAATGTTGGTAATTATTTCAATACATTGTGTCGATGTTTGCATAACACAAGCATCAGGACATCATTACGTTACAAAAGATCATCATAATTTCTCCTTGGAAATATAAAAACTCTATGTGGCTATGTGGAAAGGTTATTAAAGAGAAGATAACAGTAATCTTGGTAATGTGGCTTTCAAAGTAAAAGGTTTGCTCTTGTTGGTATTTGCTAACCTGTTCTTACGTCTGAAGAATCTTTTACCATTAAGATTAAAAATAAATCCTACAAAATTAAAATAAAAGTGACAGAATCAAACTAAAATGAAGTATTTTATACTACTACATCATTTAATACAATTCTATTGGCACAATAGATTATTGTAATAAGTAATGTAAAATATTTTTTTCTAGGATAAAAGGTAAATTCAGCTTAATACTCTAGTTAAAAATGCATAATTAACATATACATGCTGCATGCCTTTACCATTGCATAAGAATGGTCAGAAGATAAGTTAGGTTGTTTGGGCAACCCGAAGTGCAGAAGGAGTTCGACTCAGCCGATCCAACATCTGGATCGGTTAAGCCGAACCTCCGGCAGGCTACTCGCTGCTGTTCAGTCTATTCTCATAGATGCCAAACAGCAGTGAGTAAATAGCTGAATGCCGCCGAGCTGAATGCTGTCCCGCCCTCTGTGGGACCAAGCAGAATAGCAAAATAGTTAAAAAGTAGAAAAAACAATAGAAAACGATTGTGCGGAGCTA